CCCAGGAGCCCACAGAGCCATTCCGGCACCCAGTCTTCCTTAACCTGGCCTCCCGACCCGGCCCCCAAGATAAATGTCACATCCACCCTGTTTTGAGTTTGCAAAGTATTTCCACATGCCGGGCCGGCCGCTGGCCCCAGCTAAGCTGCCCTGCAGCCTCCTGCCTTTGCCTCACTTTGACTGGGTTGCCCTTCCCCACCCATTTCACAATCTGGCACATTCCTTCAGGCCCAGCTCATCCCCACCAAACCTTCCCAGCCTAACATCCTGCAGACTGCCTTGGCGCTCTGGGCAGCTTCCCATGGAAGCCAGTTTGTGACCAGATTCTCAAATGCACATGCTCAAACCAAGTGTTGGCTACCTGTGAAATAACAAGCCTGCCTCGGACATCTCGGACATACGTTTGGCCCGTGCGATGGAGGTGTGTGTGTGTGCTCCTCAGTAAACCACACATTCTTAGAAAATATGTGACAGAGACCCCCCCCCCCCAGGCTGTTTTTTGTTTTGTTTTGTTTTTTGTCCCTCCTGCAGTTAGTTAAACACAGTCGTGTAACTGAGTTCTGGCTGGTAGGTCGTGAATAGCAGAAGTGCTATGTCTGCCTCGGGAGGTCTGATGTTTACAGAGGTCAAGTGCCTGACCCCTTCATCACAGGCTTGTTACTGTGGATGGGCCACATTCGGACGCTGGGTTGTAGAGATTCTAACATGTATGCAAGTGTGGAAAGGGCTGGAGCTGAAGCAGTTACCTGGGATCCTGGGATGGCATCCTGAGGACAGCAGATTCACGTGATCACAGGGGACCTCCGTGTGACAGCCTGCACACTGCTTGCGATTACACAGATAACTTGCTCTGTCTTTTAAGAAGTGGCGTTTTGGTGTTCCCGTGTTTGTAATAACTTCTTTGTTATTTTCTCAACCAGTAATCTAAAACTACATTGTTGTTGTAGATGTCCATACAAAGAGCTTAACCTTCCACATGGGGTCTTTCACTTTCAAGGCCTAGGGTAACACGTTTGGAATCAACTTCTTGTCTGCCAGAGACGGTGTCTCTATTTAAATGTCTGTTTTTAGGTGGCAGGCTTGTTTGGGGGGCAGAGTCTTGCTATGTGGGGACCTGGCTAGCTTGGAATACTATATGTAGACTATACTGACCTCGGACTTGGTATGTAGCTGGCAGATCCTCCTGCCTCGACCTCAGACATGCTGGGTGGTAGGCATGAGTCATCATGACCAACTATTTAAACATTTTATGTATAAAATCTGAAGTTCCCTAACACAGCTGTGGGCTGGAACTACCCGGGCATCCCTTTCTCCCAAAGCACATGGGAACACAGAACACGTTACTCAGAGGGTTAATTTGGTTCGGTGAATCGTTTATTTATTTTAATTTTTGAGATGGAGTGTCAGGTCATCTAGGCTGGCCTCTAACTCTGTAAACGAGGATGACCTTGAACTCTTACCCTCCAGTCTCTGCCTTCCACGTGCTGTAGTCATAGGCACCAGCCACCACAACACCCCACTTAGCATCTTTATTGTGTCTGGAGGGGATTTGATAATTTTCTTTGTGGAAAAGAGCACAAAAAATTAATGTATTTTATGTCCTTTGCGGAGCATAAATGATGCCTGAGTTCTTGCAGAGAAATGATACAGATAAGCGATTGCCTCCCTCTCTGCTTATAGTGCATCCTCAGCTCCACAACACAAATCTCCCCGGCAAAGGGAGGCCTGAGTTCACATTGTCTCACGATATACACAGTGCACACACTGAGTCAAGTTTATGAGAGTTGCTCCTGAGCCAGGCGTGGTGGTATAAACTGTTAGTCCCAGCACTCGGAAGGCAGAGGCAGGTGGATCTCTGTGAGTTCAAGGCCACCCTGAGCTACGTGAAATCGGCCCAGTCTAAAAGAGAAGCAGAGCTCACACAAAGGTGATCTCAGCACTTGGGATCCCTTTAATCCCAGCACCAGAGAGGAATGTAAGGCGGGAGGAGACAGGAGCTCAGTGCAGTCTGAGGTTTGGTGGAGACAGAGGCAGTCTGGAGATGCAGTCTGAGGACAGGATCCCCCCTTTGGTCTGAGCATTGGTAGAGGTGAGAACTCTCCAGTGCCTTGGCCGATTTGCTTCTCTGATCTTCAGCTTAAACCCCAATATCTTGTCTCTGGGTTTTTAATATCAATACCAATTAGAATTTGTGCTATATGACTGAGAAACTGAATCCAACGTCAACACTACGGTGGCTTAAACAAGACCCGCATAATGACAACACAAGTTGACACGCCAGCATGAATTGGGGGGATCTCACAAGGTCCTGGTCCTGGATGGCTGCCAAGAGGTGGGGATAGTTTTTTTTCAGGGACAAGCACCTGACAGGTTATCCAGGCCCAACTGGCCAACCCTAAACACATACATATGAGCAACACAAATGGACTGGGTAGGTTGTGTATCTGTGTGTGTGTGTTGTGTAATAATAATAATTGAAGAAAAGATGAGTTTGAGAGGGAGTAGGAGAGCACAGAAGGTGAGGTCACACGGGACAGGGAGATTAAAAAATTATGTGAATATAGGATTTATGAAGGAAATTCTAAAAAAAAATAATTTAAAAAGGGACTTTAGCTTCGAACAGTATAGCATTTACTTGTGAAAACTGACTTATAGCTTGGATGTAATTACAGTAAACAGAGATTTCCAAAGCTTGAAAATGTCATCAGTATTTGGGGGTGGTTTGAGAGAGAATGGCCCCCAAAGGGAGCGGCACTATTAGGAGGTGTGGCCTTGTTGGAGGAAGTGTGTCACTGTGGAAGCGGGCTTTGAGGTCTCATACGCTCAAGCCCAGGCCCAGTGTCTCAGACCACTTCCTGTTGCCTGCCGATCAAGATGTAAGAACTCTCAGCTCCAGCACCATGTCTGCCTTGATGCCACCATGTCCCACCCAATTGCATGTTTTTCTTTATAAGAGTTGCTGTGGTCATGGCCATGGTGTCTCTTCACGGCAATAGAAGCCCTAACGAAGACATTATTTGAATGATATCTATCATCTGATACATAATCCCAGCCCCCAGGAAGACGACTGCATGGAATAATCCCTTAGTGTTTGTTTTTCAAATGGAACGTGGTGGGTACCCTCGGACTGGTAATGAATGACGTCACTTGGAAACCATGGAGGGTAGAGCAGGAATTGCTGGTCCTGTCTCCCTTCATCCCTCATTTCCTGAAGCCAGTGCAGAGCTCGGAGCTAGAGTACTGTGGGAGAGGCTTCTGGAAACTGAGATGATCCCGAAGGGCCTTTGGAAAGTGTTGCTATTGGAGACCACCCATCCCCATGGAGGTCCATGCTCAGGACAGGGATTCATCTGTAATGCTTTTTGGAACTGCAGAAACTTCTAGAAGATCCATAAATAATGTAGTCAATGGCTGTACTGTGTCCTGGGGACACACATTACCAGTGGAGAGATCCAAAAAAAACAGCATTCCCTCTGACTGGAGAGACAGCTGTGCTGGTCGGTGTGTGTGTGTGTGTGTGTGTGTGTGTGTGTGTGTGTGTGTGTGTGTGTGAATTTGACACATGCTAGAGTCATCTGGGAAGAGGGAACTCAGTTGAGAAAGTGCCCACATCAGATTAGCCTGTAGACGCAGCTATGGGCCATCTTTTTTTGATTGATATTGCGGTTGAGGAGCCTAGCCCACTGTGTGTGGTGCCACCCCTGCCTGGGCAGGTGGTTCTGGGGTGTATAAGACAGCAAACTGAGCAAGTCAGCAGGACCAAGCCAGTAAGCAGTGCTCTTCCATGGCCTCTGTCTGCTTCAGTTCCTGTCTCCAGGTTCCTGGCTTGAATTCCTGCCGTCATGATGGACTGTGTGCTGGGATGGACCTAGGAACTGTAAGCCGAAATAAACCCGTTCCTCCCTATGTTGTTTTTGATCAGTGTTTTATCACAACACTGAAACAAAGCAAAGACATTAATCTTTCCAGAGAAGCATCAGTATGATAAGCAATCCCATGAATGTGTTGATTGCGCGGTTAAGACTTGGAGTCCTGGCGTCTGCCTTTCCGCCTTTAAAAGACAGAGAAAGTGAGAGCCGCCATGCCTGGTGAATTAGAATATCAGGCCGGAAGGGCTTTTTTATGCAGGGAGAAAGCCTTGGATGCTTGGGTTTAATCGAGTAACTAAAGTCTGCTCGCATGATTTGAGATCAGAATTAAAGATGGGTGGGAAGGAAGGAAATGTAGCCAGGACCACTGAGCCGGCCAAGACCGACGCGAGTTTGGTCCCTCGAACCTACACGGTGGGGGCACTAACCCCGAAAGCTGTGCCCTGACCTACACACACTAGATAAGAAACAGAATTGTGATGGAGTGATGCAGAGACAGAAACAACACAATTGCTTCCATCAACAACAGCCACCGCCTCTGGCAAGTGTGCACGAACTCCCGGTTCCACCCCTCCTCCCATAAGAAGCTTGGCAAGCCTGGACTAAAATTGGACGCGCTGACTTCACTTTCATGGGGGGGGGGTACCTGTCGTGAAAGGAGGACAGTATTGAAGAGTGGCAAGTACTCCCTAACTGTCTGCCTCCCTCCTCCCTCTCCCCTCTCCCTCCCGCCCTCTCCCTGCCCTCTCTTCCTTCCTCCCTCCCTCCACCTCATACCTTATGCTGAGTCCATACCTGTGGAATGACCCTAATGGAGGAATTGAGTGTAACTCAGTTTTCTTGTTATTCCTTTAACCATCAATTTTGCTGGGTATTCGGAAGATACCAACCTGACTTAGGAAATTTAATTAATTTAAAAATGTCCAAGTAATAGGATTGTGGAAACTTAATGAGAAAAGCAGAGCTGTTAAACCAGATTAAAGGCTTTCGGTTTTTGTTTTGTTTTTTTCTTTTATAATTCAGGGCTTTGGGAGTAAAAAGGTTCTCAGATCTTCATAGGTTTAGGGCTTAGAAATGCCTCTCTGTGGTACAATTCTTGCCCAGCATACACAAGATTCTGTGTCCAATCCCAGCACCACACACACACACACACACATATGCAGGACTGCCTGCTGATGTGACTAAATGTTTCCACACTGAACTAGTAACTATGTGGGAAATTCACTCACTTATTTAGAGCCACTGCCTCCTGCCAAAATGCCATAAGGCCAGAGGAGGTAGCACTCACAGTCTACTTTTTCCAAATGTCATAGCTGCCCCAAATCAATATAACTATTAGTATTCAATATCCATAAGCATTAAGACATAGTACCACAAAAGAAATGCCAATTTTGATGCATTTGAACTGTTAGACCCCTGGAAAACTCAGGCCTCCGGGGTCTCAGCCCAGGACGGTGGTCACCCCAATCACCAGGCAGATTCGAAAGCTTGATGCAAACTGCATGAGGCTTTATTGTTGTTTAACGAGCTAACCGCATGTTAGCTCAGGTCTTTCACCCACCCGCCATGGCAGATGGCTAAGAAAGACAGCTCAAAGGGGCTCCAGAGCGATCTTGTAGGGCAGCGGAAGGGGAGTGTCTAGGGGTACACACAGGCTCAGGATTGGTGTGCCTCCAGGCTTGGAGGGCTTGCCCTGTGTTGATTGGCCAATTGGTTGTAATGGCCCATAGGCCTTCCCAGGGTGGTTGCTATGCTCTGTGCGTCATTGCTGTGTGCTTGTCCGTAAAGCACACCCAGAGCCCTAAAGCATAGCACCACCAGCTAACTTCTAATTGGTTCCTTGCCACGAGGCAGGCATCTGACCTCCTAGTGACCAAGGCAAGGTCATAGTGAGCACGTGTTACTGTCATGGCTGCCGAAATGGGGGGCTGGTCCCTTCATTACCAATTTGTAAGATTAATATAAAATGTACATTTCCCTCTCCATGGATTCATGATCCCATGGCATAGTATTATCAAATTTGGTAACTTTTTAAAAATGACTTAACAGAATTTAATAAAATAAATTCCACCCGAAAGACATGGTTGTTGTTTTAAAGTTTTATTTCATTTGGAATTTTACCGCCGCTACCCAAATTCGGCTGCTCTTAGTGTAACACAAATGCCTTCTTGAATGACACTGAAAATTACTGTTAGGAAGTGTTTCTCAAGCGTTAACTTGGTCCTTCACTCAATAAAGTTCAGAAGCTTGGAAATCCGTAAAGTTATTGTTCCAGTTCGCATCTTGTCAACTTGACACAAGCTAGAGTTGTCTAAGAAGGGGGGCCCTCAACTGAGAAATACCAGCATCAGACTGGCATGTGAGAGCCAGCCTCATGGGTGTCCCCATTGTAACTGATGGCTGATGAGGGAGGGCCCTGCTAACTGTTCACAGTGCCACCCTGCGTTCTATAAGAAAGCAGGCTGAACAAGGCACGGGGAGCAAGCCAGTAAGAATCTCCCCTCCATGGCCTCTGTGTCAGTTCCTGCCCTGACTTCCTTCATACTGGACTCTAAGCTATAAGATGAAATAAACTCTCTTCTCCCAAGTTATTTTTGGCCATGATCTGTTGGGCCTAAAAAAGGCCCAGACCCAAGGCCTAGTGGAACTTTCTGAGCCTGGCCAGAGTTTGGAGACCTGTCTCTGAGCAATCACTTCCGAATAGGAGTGACTCAGCAAAACTGCCTCTGCCTGCTGGCATGGTGAGATATTATTGACCCTTACACCTTATGCATCCTGAGGTCCCCACCCACTTTCTCAACTCTTGAAGTGACCAGTTGGACCAGCCCTTCCCACAGCCCTGACTGAGGGAGCTGTGGTCTTGATTACAGCAGTAAAAGCCAAACCTGGACAGTTATTTACCTTACGGCTTCCCTGGTTGGTGTCCACCTTGCTCTTGCTTCACAGACCTTTGCTGACCAGAACTCGGAGCCATGCTGCATTTACAGAGCCCTTGGTCCATCTGTTTTAATCACTTGGGGGTTCTTAGCAGACTAAACCCTGTGTTGATTAGTTGAGAGTTCTAATTGAAGGGACCTGCTCCCCTTTCGGCAGCCATAACAGCCGAACACGTGCTTCTATGACCTTGTCCTAGACACTAGAAAGTCAGATGCCTGCCTCATGACAAGGAACCAATCAGAAGTTAGCTGGTGGCACTATGCTTTACGACCCTGGGTGTGCTTTACGGACAAGCACACAGCAATGACGTAGAGAGCATAGCAACCACCCTGGGAGGGCAATAACAAGCAGTTGACCAATCAACACAGGGCAAGCCCTCCAAGCCTGGAGGCACACCAATCGTGAGCCTGTGTGTACCCCTAGACACTCCCCTTACGCTGTCCTATAAGATCTCTTGGGAGGCCCTAGGAGCCGTGAAAGAGATGGGTGGGTGAAAGACCTGAGCTAACATGGGGTTAGCTCGTTAAATTACAATAAAGCCTCGAGCAGTTTGCAGCAAGCTCTCGAATCCGCTTGGTGATTGGGGTGACCGCAGTCGTGGCCTGGGACCCCGGATACCTGAGTTTTCGGGGGTCTAACATAATGAGCTCCCTGATATGAATCTTGAACTACAACTATTTATAATTCTGTTAAGATACTGCAGTTACTTAAAATTACCAAAAGCAAATCTATTTTCCAAAGCAGCTTTCCCTAAACTTTGTGTGTAGACCTGCTTCTTCAGCTTCGTTGTCTTCTTTCCTTCTTTCTCCTCGTCTCCTCCCCCATCTCCCCTAGTGTACACGTACAAGCACACATGCATGTGAGTGTAGACCAGAGGTTGGT